GAAGTCCGATGTATAGATTGATGTAGAGCGCATTCCTTGTCGTAGTGACCGGATCTTTGTTGTAGCCCATCGAACCTTATCGTGTTCACCAAATGCTTCCGCAAACGCCTCCAAAAAGGTTTCAAAGTTGTTTAGTATGGACGATCATTTTTCAAACAAAGGAGCAAACCATGATAGAGCTTGCCTTGTAAGTAAGGTTCCAACAAGCCCAACACGTGACTCCTCCATTGGATAGCATTCGGGCTGTAAAACTGTTATCAACCTGATTTGATTGATGAATCCTCGAAACTTGGAACGCGTACCATCGAACTTGTTCGGAAGGCTAACTCGAAGCTCCTTATGTTGTAGAACCAGCGGTGCTTATCGAACCTGAGGCAAAGTTGCTTCTCCAAGTGTAGAAGTTTGAGGCTGGTGCAACCTAGATTGTGCCATCCTAGATGCTCCATCATTATGAAGCCTTGCCACGATTCCTTCAATCTCTGCAGTTCTTTGCAATAACGTAGCGAGGGCATTCATGATAGCATCCAACTTGGACTCCGAACTTTTCGTCATACTAAAGTCTTGGCCTCCGGCCATTCTAAGAGAAGGACAGAAATGACTCTACAAGAAGACAATATTGGTTTAGAGGAGGATACTCCGCAACCTCTAAAATGCCTTAAGAGCTTCAAGAAAAGGGATAATCCACTCTCTTCAAGAAGAATAAGAATCCAATATTGTAACAAAAAAAGTATCAGTTTAGAGGAGGGTAATTCGCAACCTCTAAAATGCTAGTATACTTCCAAGCAGAGAGGTAATCCACACTCTAACGAGAAAGAAACTAACTCTGATATCTGAGGTGAGTGAAGTCTCGACAAATTGTCACGGACACAGAAATACAGATTCGAGATCTAACAAGAAGTTCAAGAAGAACTGGCAAGAATTAGATTAATCAAATGAATACAAGAACAACACCAGAGAGGTGAGCTAGAGCTCCAAGAGATGTGTTGACGAGACTGAAGAATTCTTCAGCCTTGATTCCAATATATACTCCTATTTAAAAAGCTTCTCAAGCAACTTCTACCAACTAGGAAGCTTCTAAAAGGTTCCAGAGACTTGCTTCTAGAAGGTTCTAGAAACTTGTCTCTAGAAGCTTCTAAGGACTATGTCCCTAACATCGTTATAATGTATTACCCAAGGATATTATATCAGATAGGAGAACTCAATTTGTATCAAGATTTTGGCGGACTCTTTCCAAGATTCTAAAAGTGGATATAAAACTATCTTTGGTATTCCATCCTCAAATTGATGGACAAACGGAGCATGTTAATCAAGTTTTGGAGCAATATTTAAGATGTACCATTAACTACCAACAAGATGATTCGACAACTCTTTTGCCATTGGCAGAGTTTGCTTATAATAACACGGTACATTCTTCTATAAAATAAACACCTTTCTTTGCTAATTATGATTATCATCCATGACTTGATACTTTTGACTTTTCAAAAGTTGATAATCCTGCTACGAAAGATTTCGTGATTCAATTGTCTGAGCTACATGCAACGATGAAGACACAATTAAAAGAGGCTCAAGAACAACAAAAGGTCAATGCGGATGTTTATCAAAAGGAACAACCACCATTCCTCTTGGATGATAAGGTATAGCTACTTCGTCGCAATATCAAGACCACTCGTCTTTGTGACAAATTATACTATCGAAAACTTTGACCATTTTCTATTTCTACACAAATCAATCCAGTTGCATATCGTTTATATCTATTGGAGTCAATAAAAATCCATCCAGTATTCCACATGTCTCTTCTTGAACCATATAAGACAGTGGACATACCAAGAAGACGACAAGCTCCACTTCCTCCTATAGAAGTGGAAAATAATCAAGAATTTTAAGTAGAAGTTTTAGATTCAAGGCGGCGCCAAAATAAATTAGAATATCTTGTCCATTGGCACGGATATGGTATTAGTGAATGCACATAGGAGCCAATAAAGAATCTTGTAAATGCAGCAAAGGCGGTTGAGGCTTTTCATCGATGACATCCATCAAAATCAAGATGAAAACCTTCTTTATAAAAGAAACAAGATCTAAGCAAGATAACATTCTACTTTCAATCCTTGTTCGTAGCTTCTTTGTAGTAGTGACGTTCAAGAAATGGAGAACCAACAACTAGTGGATTTGACTCAAGAGCCTTTATTTAGTGACCTACTGGACGAGATATTACGATTGTCACAACCTTTAAGATGACACAATGAAGATGAAGTTCTTCAAGAACGACATGTTCTTCCTCGAATAGATGGCGAGATACAATGCGTTTGGTATCACGATTTGAGAAGGGACTCCCAATGTTTGGTGATTTTGCTAGAGGTAGAAACAGCTCTTGATGGTATTCCAAATGTTCCATTCGAAGGAAGTTATGAAGGCCTCAACAATGATCAAATAATTGGGTGGTCTTCCCGCCCTGGAATGGGACACTACCGATAGTTGAGAGGCCCTATCAATCATCTTCAAAGAGAACAAAGATCAAAGTATGTGGGGAATACAATTCGTCGCATCATAGATTTTCTCAACATATAATGACCGCTCCTCGTAGAACTCATCTTTAGAAGGGAGAGTAATGTCACGGATATACTCATGTAAGTTAATAATTACATATATAAGTAGGTAAAAGTAAGTTAATTCTATAGTATTTAATATGGAAGCTTCTTAGAAGCTTTATAGATGCTGTTTTGACTTCATAGGTATCTTTAATTGACTTTTTGGATTAGAAACGTAGTCAACAAGTTAGCCATGTACCACACATATTGTTAGCTTGAAGATCAAGCTAACTATATGGCCTACACGTAGAAAAACTTGCCTTATAAGTCAAGGCATGTGTCCTACAAAGTCAACACACATTGGAGGTCCTATAGAACGTCCCTATGTAGTCCCTAGTTAGATAGTATATATAGAGACAAGAGTGAAGTCTTCTTCACTCTTGTCAATTCCTTTCTTGCTTTTAGACTAGTTTCAAGAGTCTCTAGTTTTCTTGTCTTTTGGCAATCGCCATTCTAGTTTTTCTTTCAGTATACATACTTATATTTTGTTACCTTTCTTTGAGTGAAGGCTCACTTGTTTGGATTTTTTTTTCATTGAGTTCTTATCCTTGACATAAAGACATGCTCCGACGAGCTTGACGATGATTTAATACGCATGTTGACATAAAATATTCGAGGTTCTTATGATCCGTATACACGGTGACTGGACAGGAAGCGCCTTCTAGATAATGATGCCATTCTTGAAAAGAATCCACGATTGTAAGAAGTTCTTTGTTGCGGATCTCATAATTGATTTCTGCTGCTGAAAATTTTCTTGAATGAAAGGTGATTGGATGAAGTTTGTCATCTGTTCCCATTTGTGATAAAACTGCACCCAGAGCAAAGTGTGATGCATCTGTTTCCATAAAAAATACTTTGGAAAAATCAACACAATAGAAACAAATGCTGTATTCAAAGATTCAAAAGCAACTTCTACTTCTTGATTCCATTGAAGTTTGTCTTTACAAGTCAAATGTGTAAGTGGAGCTGCAACTCGAGAGAAGTCTTTGATGAAGATTCGATAGTAGTTGGCAAATCCCAAAAAACATTAGACATCTCTTACCGTTTTTGAGATCTTCCAATCTATAATAGTTTGAACTTTCTTAGGATCCATCATAAGTCCATCATTTGAAATGATATAACCTAAGAAATCGACTTAAGTAGTGTGGAATACACACTTTTCTATCTTGGTATAAAATCCTGCATCTAACATCTGCACCAATAGAGTTGGATAGCTTTGGGGTTGAAGTTCAATCCCAAGTTATACTTGATGCAATGGAGTTGGATAGCTTTGGGGTTGAAGTTCAATCCCAAGTTATACTTGATGCAATGGAGTTGGATAGCTTTGGGGTTGAAGTTCAATCACAAGTTACACTTGATTGATAAATCCTCGAAACTTGGATCTAGTGCCATCAAACTTCTCGGGTAGGATAATTCTTGGTTCTCTAACATTAGAAGGACGTTCCACCATAGGAAAAAGGACATGGTTTGGTGCAGATGTTGAAGCAGCTCCAACCATTTCTATATCTTCACTTCCTGCCAATCTTGTTGCTCCTTGTGGTGGTAAATTGAGTTGATGCATCGCAAGCATTAACTTCCTCAATTGCTCTTACATTTGTACCATTGCATTCTTCATTTCAACAAGTTCTCCCATGATAACACTTTGAAAAGAGAAGATGTCTAATATTGCTTAAGACAAATAGAAGAGAGGACTTGAGAACAAAGAAAATACTAAGGACAATATCAGTTTAGAAGAGGGTAATCCGCAACTTCTAATATGCTTATATCCTATCAAGAAAAAAGGATAATCCACTCTTAATCAAGATTAGACAAAGCTTTGATATTGTAGGTGTACTCTTGTCAATCTGTCAAGGACAAAAACTCGATGAAAAAAAAATTTAGACAAGTGAGCCTTCACTCAAAGAAAGGTAATAAAATATAAATAAACAAGTATGTATATTAAAAGAGAAACTGGAATGGCTATTGCCAAAAGACAAGAAAACTAGAGACCCTTGAAACTAGACTGGAAGCAAGAAAGGAGTTGACAAGAGTGAAGAAGGCTTCACTCTTGTCTCTATATATAATATCTAACTATGGACTACGTGGTGACGTTCTATAGGACCTCCAATATGTGTTGACTTTGTAGGACACATGCCTTAACTTACAAGGCAAGTTTTTCTACGTGTGGGCCACATAATTAGCTTGATCTTCAAACTAACAACATGTGTGGCACATGGCCAACTTGTTGACCACGTTTCTAATCCAAAAAGTCAATTAAAGACACCTATGAAGTCAAAGCAGCATCTCTGAAGCTTCTAAGAAGCTTCCATATTAAATACTATAGAATTAACTTACTTTTACCTACTTGTATATGTAATTACTAGCTTATATAAGTATGTCCGTGACAACAGGTGCCATCCACTACTTCGCACATAATAAACCACAATTCATCAATTTCAAACCATTTCTACATGATGACAACAAAGTATACCTTGGCGATGGTACAACATTACCCATCTATGGCCAAAGAGAAGTAGAAATCTCAATGGCAAATGGCGAGACACTTGGTCTCTCCAATACCTTATATGTACCAGACTTATACAAAAATCTATTCTTCCTATGTAACTATGATCTCGAAGGTGGTGGCATCTTAATAAAAAAATCAGATGTGTAATCTATTAGCAAAAGATAATACAATACTCGCCTCTTGTCCTCTTTGAGATAATCTTTATCTACTAGGATCAATAAAATTCTCAATTCAAAATGTGGTGGCACATATCATTGCTTGGTCGAGAGAATCACCATCTGTATCCGTACCCCCAAGTGTCGATTTTAGAGTTTTTATCTCGCAGCCTTTATTAACGACCCTTTCCGATCTTGATCACTTATGCTGGTCACCTTAGCTCTCTCCAGCACCGTCTTCCCCCATTACGAGCGACTCTGCGTGGTGGACAGTCGACATGGAGTTATCTTCCGCCCTCAACTCCCATGCCTCTCAACTACCACTACTAGAGCCTTGGAATCTTACTCGTCACCACAGAGCACAGCAGATTCCTCTCCACCTCGACATAGCAAACTTGCAAGGACACCATGGCCTCCCAGAGATCCCTCCATAGCCAAATCAGCTACCTCTTGCTGTTGCTATCTTTTCCGCCCATATTACGACACTACGATCCACTACATCCCCGTTGCTCGAAGCCACTCAAGTTGTCGCCTCAGTTCCAAGCTCGCAACAATTCTTATGGCATCGAAGGCTTGATCATCCCAATAGTGACCGCCTCAAGCACTTAATCACCAATTCAGTTGTCACGGGAATCCACCTCAAAACGATCTCCAACTTGGTGTGCCCGATATGCCTCCATGGCAAACATACAGCCAAAAAAATTCCAAAACAAGCGACTACAAGAGCCACTCAACTTCTCGAATTAATCCACTCTGATTTAAGCGGCCGCATAGCTACTCCAACATTCTCTAGCTACAAATATTATGTTACATTCATCTACGACTTTTCCAAATATACAATACTAAGACTATTACGAAAAAAGAGCGAATGTCTACATGAATTCAAAATTTTTCACACATGGGCTAAGAATAAAACCGGCTATAAAATCAGAACTCTCAGCTCCGATCAAGCAGGAGAGTACTTATCTTCAGAATTCACTCACTACCTTGAAGCACATGGAATTCAACGTCAACTCACCACAGCATATACACCACGCCAAAATGGTGTGGCTGAACACAAGAATCGAACTCTCCTCGACACCACAAGGTGCATGCTCCATGAAGCTCAACTCTCTAGATCGTATTGGGGAGAAGCAGTCACTTGTGCTGCGTATATACAAAATCGACTTCCCACGAAGGCTATTCCTTCTCACACCACTCCATTCGAGATGTGGCACAAGAAGAAGCCCGATCTCACTCACATTCGTGTATTTGGAAGTCGATGTTATGCCAAAATCCCTGATCCGCTCTGTGTCAAGCTTTATGGAAAAACGAAGGCTTGCATATTCCTTGGATATAGCCCGGTCAGCAAGGGATACAAGGTTCAACTCCTCCGCACCGACGCCACCGTCGTCTCCAGGGACGTCATCTTTCAGGACGAGCCTGCTCCTCCCCGCCAACCTGTTCAGGCCAGCCCCTCACCCGATGCCAGACTCCAGGAAGACCCACATTTCTTCCTTCCCAGCGGGTCGCAGCCCCCTGCCACTCCACCTGCGCGTGTATCCACGTGTGAGCCCCAGCACCCTCTTTCTGATGCTCCGCAGGTGCCGTCGGACCAGCATCAACGTCCTCCTTCACTACCTGTCACGAATCCTCTTGATGATCACCTTCACTGCACCGACACCCTAAAAACGCCGACCCGTGTATACTGCGACAACCAATCAGCGTTAGCATTAGTCACAACCACTCGTTTTCACTCCCGCACAAAGCACATTTCTATCCGCTACCATTTCATCAAATAAAAGTTTTCTATTGTTTATTCTTCTAAACCATAAAAGAAGGGAAAGAACGAAAAGAACAAGCAACTAATTAAACTTTGTATATACATTATTTTAGGTATATTCTTTAAAAAATAAGTGTACTTCGAAAGAATTGATGTGTTACGTAATTATCTATAGAGGATGACCTATTAATTTTTCTGTTGTTTTAAAGTTGAAATTTGATCAAAATGATGAATTAATTTTTTATATATATACGTATATACATATAAACACACACATGAATGCATCAAATATAAAATACTTGAAAAAATGGTAAATTAAAATGGAAAAAAACCAGTATCAATTTCAAGTATTGTAATGATGTAAATCTCATGAAATTGTGGTCGTGATGATGATGATACCATAAAAGATTGGACACTGACCCATAAAATTTTGTATTGTACTCAGATTTTTTGATGTATATATATATATATATATATCCTTTTTAAAATTTTAAAACGTTTAATATATAATTTTTTTCTACTTTTAGGTTTCTTTTAGATCATACTTTACACACAAGTTTATCCTCCAGAAACAAAAGGAGTGAGGAAAATATATGAAATACAGGAAGAAAATGGAAATTGTTTGATTCTTTTTTTCTCTTTTTCTTTTTTAAATTCTATAAACTAGACGTGGATGAAAATTTTATACATAGTACTAAAAAGCAAGTAAATTTTTTTAAAAATACACATAAACCTGGTTCACATTATGCATGGTAATATTTCAATAACATAAAAAAGTAAATGAATAAATAGAAAGAAAAAAATGGTAATACATATGCTTGTAAATTTAGTGATCCAAGGTAATGTAAATCAACTGCGCTCCTTCAAAAAGAATCAACAAATAAAATGTGTAATGATTTGAAGGAACATGAGAAATTCAGGTATACTACTGTATTCTTTGGAAAAAGATACAGTTTTCCAGCTATATTCTTTCAAAAAGTGATATTGTTTGATGAAACTTATTCTGACCAAGCATCTGCATGATGTGTGTGAATGTTTTGTTTTATTTTATTTTATTTTATTGTTTATTTCACCTTCAAAATTTACATAACCCACCAACCAAGCTCACAATCATCTGTGTGTATTTGTGCCCACCCACCCCACAATAAAGTAAGTCCACACTCACCAATTGTCTAGTATACATATATATATATATATATATATCTATAATTGAATAAAGAATTTTATAAATATATATATGTACATATATATATATATATATATATATATAGTTCTATCTCCTTCCACCAAATGTGACAGGCAGCAAAGTTGAGCATTGGGTCACGAGATTGCCACCAGAATGCTCTGCTTCCTTTTTCTTTTTCTTTTAGTTTTTACTCTTTGTTCTTTTTACTAATCCGGAACGAAAACTTCCCCCCTCAATGAGGCAGAGGGAGTACCCCCCACTCACAAGACCACCAGGGCCCTCTTCACATGTTCGTCCTGGCTCCCCTTCATCGGTACTCCTCCCGCCAAATGCCACGCAACCCCTAACTCTCCATCGTAGGCGGGAAATCCACTACTACTTTAGGCTGATGTGGCACCTCGAATAGGTCCTCGCCCCGAAGCAGAATTTTTTAGGTTAGGGGGTGGATGTGAACCCTGCCTGCCTTCCCGCCCCTTACCCCGGGTGGGTGCAGTTGGATAAAAACTCATGCCCGGTGCCGGGATCGGGACAGGGACGGGTTCGGGTTTTGGGACGGGAACGTGGTGGGTGGTCGCCTTTTCGTCACCTCTCTTGGGACCTCGATTTTGTGTTTCTCACCCTGACTTTTATCAAAGGTTTATGGAAGTTGCAAGGAAGCTGCTGCTGCCCTGGGCTCGGGCAGCTGCGACCTGTGCCTATACCCCCCCTCTGCCCATCATTTATTTGTTTGTATACCATTTTGTATTTGGAATTAAAAATTTTGGTTATTTTGTTTGAGACTTATTGAAATTTGTGAATTATATCTCATGTATCTCATCACTTATTTATTTCTGTGGTCTCATAGTGATTGAACTTATAAAGTCCTCAACAGGGTTTCTTGTTTGTGGTAGTATCATGGATGTAATAATGATTCAACATATTGCCTTATAATAAACTTCTCCATTTTTGGACTTAAATGTTTTAAAAAAATCAATGAGGCCATTTTCATGATGTAACATGGCTAATGAATGAAAGAGAGAAAAAAAAAAAAAAAAAAAAAAAAAAAAAAAACATTATATTATAGAAGATCTTATTTTAAAATATTATAGCAAATTATCTTAGAAATATTGATAATAGACAAAAAGATAATAAAATTAAAAGGTGCTAATGCTGCCTTTTTGCAAAATAGGCTTCTACTTACTTTGTAGGGCCATAAATAAGGCAAAACAAAGTATATTGGAAAATTAAATAATATAGGCATGTGTAAGAGTAGATTTTAGCAAAATTTACTTCAAGAATTGATATCCAAAAAGGACTGGTTGTCAACTTGGATCAAAATCAGATCTCAAGGCACAAAATTGTGCACCTATAATAATTCCAAGGATTCTTTTGTAGATTGGAGAGTGGGATTTGAGAGAAAAATTGAAAAGAGGTTTTTAAGCATTGGTTTCATGTCATTTGAGTCAATATTGAGATTTTGAGGGACTTTCAAAATTAACAATATTCTTAGTAAGATTAAGATTTGAGAAATAAAAATTTGGTTACAAATTTGAAGGTTTTTTGAATTCTATGGTGTATATATAGGTGAAATTTGGATAATATATTGGTGTACTAGTTGTAAATATGTGTGCAAATTTTGAGGTCAATCAAATAATTAGATTGAAGTATATAAAGGTTTTTATGTATTGAAGTCTCAAAAATTGGAGTTTGATGGCCAACAAGTGTTTCTAAGATCTTCAGTAATCTATCAATTGGATTGAAGTGAAATTTTTTTATATAGATATTAGACTTAATTTTCAACATTGAGGTGAAATTTGAGAGCAATTCAATAGTTGAAGAAGGAGATGTTGGTCCTAGAAGTTCAGTATTTAGGTTGGAGTAGGAGGCTATCCAACACCTGATTGGATTATCTTGTGTTTCTTTTAATTAGTCAGTATAATCAATTTCATCTTTCTTGTGATTGTTTCTAACTTAGATATTAAAAAGTATACAAATTTTGAGTTGATATCAATGGTTTGATGATTAGTTCTTGGGATTCTATTTTATCATAAGATTTGTTGAGAGTTTATTTAAGATCTAAGGTTTGATTAAGATTTAGTTTAGGATTTGGTCTAAGATTTGATTAGGATTAAGGTTTGTTTAGAATTTAGTTTAAAACTTTAGAAATTGTCTAGGATTTAAGATTTTCATTAGGATTTTATTAAAATTTGATCTAAGATTTGATTAAGATTCAATTTAGATTACATTATGATTTCTATTTTTAATATTATTTTAGGATTTTTTTAACTTTTTTTAACTTTTTTTAGTTTATTTTGATAAATTAAAATTTAATTGGATTTATTAGTGATTTCTTGAAGTTTCTTTAAGGCTTTATTAGACTTGGTAGAATTGTTGTTGCATTTTTACTTATCTTCTACAACTAGGTGCCTAATGCATTTTCAAGCAAGAATACACATAATACAACATTGCTAAAAGAAGTCATTTTTATATTATTATTTTTTTTGATAAAAAAATTCTATTGTTCTATTTCAAGTATTTAAATAGTAGAATCCATAAAAAATATTTTGTAATATATAATATTTCATTAAAAAAAATAGAATTTGATTTTCTTTTCTTTTTAAAAAATAAATCTATTAGAATAGGATTTGAGCCTTTCTAAATATTTATTAAATACTTTAAGTAAAAATATGTAAGTTTTAGGCATGATCAAATGTAATGCATGGAATATTTCTAATATAAAAAGAAAGATATTCCATGTACCATGTACACTCACTTGATTTGTAATATAATCAGAAGGTATATTTGCTGAAAGTCAGCTTGTCAAGCTCTTCTTATTTAAGATTGACAAGAGACTCTTGGATTTAGGCACACCAAGAATTATTCTCAATTATGAAGGTAAGGCAATATTAGCAAAATTATTTTTTGAAGCTAAAAAAATATAATATGATACTTTATTAATATAATGATATTAACATGGTAGCTTAGATGATAGATGTATCTAGATCTAAGAAGGTTGCAACTACCACAAGTAGCTTAGCAAAAAGTCAATATGAAAGAGGTATACATTGTTAGAAGTTTCATGAATCTGATTACACCAAAAATGATCCCAACTAATTTAAAGAAGAAGGCCTTACATATGAAGAATCCTAAGCCAAAAGAAAAAATAACTAAGATAGGAGATAAGTCTAAAAAGAAGCAATTGAAGTATATTTATTATGATAAACTTAACTATAATGAAGATAATTGCTTCATATTACATCCACAAAAGTAACTTGTTTTAAATAAGAAAAAAGCCTTAGAAGCTAAATTGCCAAGTTAGAGAAGAGATTCAATAGTCTAGCCTTATTATGCTAAGTTAATAGATCTTGTGTAAATTCTAGAGGTGGAATAATTTTTTCTTTGAAAAATTATATGTTTGATGTATTGAGACAAATAGCAGTTGCAATTGCTACATATGCCCAAACAACAGCTAAGAATATGGCGCCTACAAGAAGAGAGGCACCAAAAACTTTATTTGGCTATCTAAGCAATTGTAAAGATCTTAATACTCATATACAATTATTTTTATGATTTGGCCTTGTAGGTGTCAATTTTACAATAAGACCTTCTATTTCAACTTCAATACCAAATGGACATATTAATATTTAAGACATGGCATATACTTTGGCTTACAAAGTATTAAACATATCTATATTTTTTTTAGTATTGATATGTTGGCTCTTGAATGTAAACTAGTAGAGATCTTTTAACTAGTTGATAAAATGTTGGAAGGCAAAGTACTTATGCCATCTTTACATGTAGCTCAAGTAGTCACAAAGTTTTCTATAGAAGAAGATTTGGC